CGGAGCTGTGAACACTGGCGGGGGAGGCCGTGGCGTTTCAGCCCGCGTAAAGCGTTGCTCAGGCTGCCTGGCTCGTTGCCCTCCTCTCTCTCACAAGTGGATGAGCTACTTATGAAAAGATTGTGGGTCGGGAGAGCGTACCTGGGCACTAGCAAGAACATGGCGAGGAGGGAGCAAAGGCGAGAGCCCCAAGGGATCGGGGAAGGAGGACGTTCCCTGAGGGGCGAGGAAGCCCGACAGGCCAGGTGCTGTGGCTGACAACGTGAGCTAGAAAGGAAGAAAACTAACAGTCCGGTGCTAGAAAGGGAGAAAAGTGACAGTACGGTACTGCAGAGGGAGAGAAATCGTCAGGGGCTCTTCAGACAGCTCCAGTGCGAACTGGGTGTAGCCATGCTGGTCAAAGGGTATCAACAGGACAAGTTTTGCGGGCAGAAAAGTGCAGTCTCTTTTAAAGGACCAACCAAAGTTCCCCTATGATATAAGTATTTCTCTCTCACTCTCCCCTCTGTTCTGTGGGTACTTCTCCCTTTTCTTTCAGGGATGTCAAACTGATACAACCTGGCAGAAGTCTGAGCAACTGTTCGCCATTTGTCCTTGGCTTTGTTGTCCGGTTTTTGCAGCTATGCTTGTTGGTGTAATAGATGTTACTTCTTTCTACAAACCTCATCCTGCTTAATAAAAAAGCTAGTTTTTTGACTCTTGGTTTTCTATAGGTGACAGTCCAGTAAGCTGTAGCATCTATAGGCCTTCACTTATAGATGCTGGGCCTGTCATCTGCCCGTCAAGGTTGCCGAATCACAGTGCACAAGTCTCTAATTTAAGGTTGTAATAGACTTGCTCAGTGGATGGGGAACAGAAAGCAATATATAACGATGTATAAGACTTACTAACTGAGAGGGTACTCATCTGCCATTTGACTTGCAGAATAAGAAAAATGTGAAGAGAAGAATGAAAGACTTAAGATGGAGCACCATCTGGTGGCATTTCATAGATCCAAAGATTTATGTGGGAGCAGCGTTTTTTTCCTCTTTTCTGCCAACATGTGTGTTGTGTACTTAGAAGGAAATTTGTCTCTTCCACCTGGAAGAGACAAAAAGTTAATTCCTCTAACTGATCTTCTGACTTTGTCACGTTGCCTTCCGGCTGTACTGCCTGCCTGGCGTCTGACTTCAAAGGAACACAGTCAGGAGAAATGCACTGTGATTCCATTTCTGTTGCATTGCCTTAAATTAGACAAAACTCTCTGAGGAAAGTAGGTGCATTAGCTGAAGCATGACCATGGGCATTTTTGTTAAACACCCAAGATCTGAGTCCTCGTGTTCCTCTGTGAAAGGAATGCAGCTCTCTCCCTTGAATCCAGGGTAATAAACTACCCCATTTACATCTCTTGCAGAATGTAAGTGGAAGTACGGTAGATGTCTGTAAGATCATGAGTGTCAAAGGGAACTGGTTGTCTCTTCTGCGGTCAAAACAAGCAGGTACTACGTGAAACTAGCCACAGGCAGGTTCAGAACAAACTGGAGGTCATTCTTCACACAGCATCTTGTTAAAGGGCAGAATTTCTGATCACAGGATTTTGTAGCCCGCTAAAAGTTTACATGCGTTCAAAGAGAAACTAGGCTAAATCCTGAATGACAAATCTGTTGAGAACTAGTGGTAGAATACCATCATGAGCTTCATCTGCACCTTAGGGAGCTTATTTTGGCGAATATTGCTATGTGCTTGCACTGGTCTTATATTCCTGCCTTGACATCTGCTAGTCAGCCTGCTGGAGACAGGATACTGACCCAGAAGCACATCCAGGCTGACCCAGCATGGTTGTTGTTCCCTCCTTTCTTCCAACTAACTCCAGTTACGCATGAAATTTTCTCCAAATAGTTTAAGTACTGCAGCTTTTATTCTTGAATCACGTGTGGTGCTTTATTAAAATCTTCAGCCCATTTTTGTGATAACCATTTCTGACTATGCGTAGACTAACCACGGAGTGAAGAAATACTTAATGAATGCGTCATTAGAAAACAGCTTCAGCTTCTGCTGGAGAACAGGATGTGATAGGGCTGAGCTCTTCTATACCATGTTTTAGCTGCAAATCTCAAAAACTGCTCTATGAAAGGTGGCAAGTATCCCTTTCTCCGTTCTGTAGATGGAAATATTGACTAAAGAGACGACGTGGCCTTGCCAAAATAAGCCAGAAGTCTCAGCTCATCTTACCTGCAGATCTTACAGATTTGAGCAAGTTCTACTGTTTAATGACAGTCCACGAGTGCTGTCGTCCCAGTCTAGCTGCCAACCAAAGTGCTAGGGTGGAGCGAAGCATGTGAGGAACAAAATGCAGCCAATTTCCTACCGTAGTTGCCCTTGAATTCAGAAAGGGACAGCATTCCCTGCTGCATATTCTTCATTCACTTAGCATAGGCTTGCCATGGGAGAGGCAGTGCTTCCTTGGGCAGGAGGATTGGAGGCAGTACTGGCTGGCAGTTGGAAGCTCCTGGTGGATAGGATGTGCAACCAGACTTGTTCCTGCTCTTCTCTTCTTACTGCTGTTGAGGTTAGAGCAGGTTGTTTAAAGTTTTCATCTCCCTTGGACATGGCAAAGCCATAATGGCTAGCTGATCCCAAAGTCATGTGCTCCCTTCTTCTGATAATGGCTCTCATCTCTCCCACAGTGATCTGGGTGAGTTCACTAAAACAGCAGAAAATTAAGATTACCAGGAACAAAAATAAGTTTCCTGCCATTTTTCTCCTTAAACCAGCTCCTTGAAGCATTGTGAGCAGCAGAGCTGCAGTGGAAGTGGTGGGAGCCCCGGGGGCAGGAAGGTGAGGAGACCTGATCTCCCTTTAGGGGCTGCAAGAAGTCTGTGTGACTGAGCCGTAAGGTCAAACCCAAGCAAAGACATTTGAACATCTCACCTGGGGGCACAAGCAGAGGTGAGAACATGTTAAAGCGCGCATCCGCTCCCCTTTCGGAGGAAAAGGGCACTGCCATGAACTGCTGCCCCAATCCTGCCAGCTCAGGCCCAGCGCAGGGCAGCAGTGGCAGGAGCAATGGGAACAGTTCACAGTTAAACCAACTCGCAGGTCCTGTGAGAGGAGCTGGTGCTTTGAGGTTGGGATGAGACCTCCAGGAAGGGCACTGTTGCCTCCCGCAGGGTTTCTCCTCCGTCCTCTAACACGGAGGGGGGTGGAGGCCACATCTGAGCTGTGGTCCAGGACAGGAAAGGTGTCAGGTCTGTGCCCTGAGACAGAAAAGGTGACACGGCTCCTCGCTGTTCCTGCACTGAGGGTGCCCTGAAAGAGTTAAGAGGAGGGCTCCTCCCCTCCGAGTACATAAGCCTCCTCCTGGGTGACCTTCCCGGCAGCCCTTGCTGGCTCAGCCCCAACCAAACAAAGAGGGCAGGAGCTTTTCAAACAGGAGCCTCTCAAAAGTTGGCTGCTGCAGAGCTAGGCTCTGTTGGGACCCTTGCTCGCCCAGGCCGCTGAAGGACGCAGCAGCTGCAGGGAGTCGGTGCCTTCGCCTGGAAGGATCCTGGCAGTCATCTCTAGTCCCCTGTACGTGGAGGCTCTGCCTGTTTGCTTCGGGGTGGTGTGTGAGCGCTGGGAAGGGGTTGTGAGGAGGCCTGTGTTACTGCGCTGGGGCCCCGAGCCCCTGTCCCGTGCTTGATGGGGGCACCGATCCGGATGGAGTGGGCTGCTGCCGCTCGGCACGCAGCCTGGCGATGCGCCTGAGCAGGGACGCAGAGGTTTGGTGCCATGCTGAAACTCGGGGTGAGAGCTGGGAACACGGTGCCTGATCTAATGCGCTGGCTTCCAGCTGCTTTTTAAACTCAGAAACCGACCTCGCGATTTCCCAGCAGAAGTGCAGACCCCGCTTTAGAAGTTGCGTATGTGTAAATAGACTGCTGGATGCTGAGTTTACGCCAGCTGCCAGCCACCAAACTGCTCTAGCCAAGACACAATAGATGAATGAGCATGAGAGGAGAGAGGGGAGCTCTGGGAGTGCGGATTTTGGGTTTAACCTCTGTGTCACTTCATTCCTGCACCTCCATCCTGCTAATGAGGACACTGCTATTTACTGCCATCTCCGCAGGTGAATAGCTCTGCTTGCAGAGGAGGATTGCAATTAGGATTAATTAGTCAATGTCTCTAAATGCCACCTGAGGCTGGAAGCACTTGTCCTGTTTGTGCTACTGTCTTGCTTAGTTTTCCAAACTGCTACTTTGGTTTTCCCTCCTTGTCATTAGCTTTGGGTTGGGTAGTCGCTGTGGCATGTCGGTGTTGCTACAGGCAGCTCTCCTTGAGCCCCAGAAGATCCAGGCGATCGCTGGATTATTCTGCCAATTGCAGCATTGAACCGTTGGTGTTCATTTATTGCGTTGAGGCCAGGTGCTGTAGACTGGGCGTTGTGGAGCGCTTGTACAGATGGCAGTAGAGCGCTGGCTTGGCCTACAACATCTGGGTGCTGATGTTTTCCCCACTCTGTAGGTGCTTTGGTCTGTCTCTCTGTGCACTCTGTCATTCCTTCTGCACCTGTGTTAAAGAGGGGTTAGATTTGTGTCTGGCTTCACAGAAAACAGTTTGTGTTGCTTTGCTGGAGGAACTGCAGGATGGCGGATTTGTCATCTAATGGCTTTGGAAACTTTTCATCTTAATGTGTGATAATAGCCTCAGTTTTCTCTGCAGAGGGTTGAGTTTTCTATGGCTGCATGGTCAAGTAGTTACACAGATTTAGAACAGTAGGAAAAGGGGGATTGGGGGGGGATTCCTGTCTAGTCTGTGGAATGATGCAAATTTTATCAGTTTAGCTGCAACTGAGCTTCTAGATGAATTCAGTTTTGAGCAGTAGTCTCTGAACTTCTGGACTGCTCTCTCTCTCGAAAGCTGAAGCACGCTGGCAGCTACGTCATGGACAGACTTAAGACTTCAAGGCTGTATGCAGCAGTTTGTTTTTGTAGGATCTTAGCCTAAAAATTCACCACGATGCATGTTTTCTCTTTTTCCTGCCACACTTGCAAAGCATGCCCTGATGCTGTAGGATTATGCCTGTTGAATGTTAAACTCCCTCAAAAATCCCAATTTCACTACAAGGAACCAATAACATTACTTTTTTTGCAGTGATTTCCTTGTCTCTTCTTCAGACATGTGAAAGACACTAGAAATCCAAGATAAATAACACATTACTCTTTGCAGTGACTTCCTTGTCTCTTCTTGAGACACTAGAAATCCAAAGTATGTCTGTGGTTTAGTCTTTGCGATTCTCCCCACTGGAAGGGCTGTATCTTGGGAGAGCAGAAGTGATTTAAAGGTGCAAAACGCTTTAAAGAGAGGCTAATAGTACTGTTGAATGTACAAGGGTAGGGCAGTGAGATACTTGGTATTTATGGTTCAGGTATAAATACTAAAGCTCAACTTGATTAGAATTTGCTCAGGCCCAGGGCAGAGATGGATTTCTGAGTTTGGACATGAAATCCAAGCTGTGCCTCTCACCCAGGTCGCTCAGGCAGTCTGTGAAAGCCTCTTGTTCCTTCAGGCTGTGGTTCCACAGTTACCAAGATCAGGTTTGTGCCCTCTAAATCATTCCTCAATACAAATCTAACCTTTATCAGATACGGGCACAGAACCACAGCCACACTGAATTTGTCAGAGCATGTGATACGGCATTGCTGCTGACCCATGTTTTTTGAGCTAATCTCCATTGGCACAAAAAACTTCCTGTATTTAAGGCCACAAGTGAGAAATATCCAAGTGGGAAGACAACTGTAGTTTTACCATGCCAGCTATCTTTATAAGTTTCCAAGAGCGTAATGCTTAATTATGTAAGATGGATTTTTAAGAAGGTCTTGGCCAGTTTTGTCTCTTCCATTTGAGGATCTAACTTTTTTAGTTTGGGTAGGCCGGGGGGCTGTCTTCTCCATTAGCATTGAAAGCAGAGCCTAAAGAAGTTGGCCACTTGTCAAAGGCCATGAAGCAAAGCTAGACATTGACTTTAAATAGCTCACTTTGAAATCCTGGGCCGGATATATAGTACAAGAGAGATATGGAGCCTACTGGAGTGAATCCAGCGAAGGGCTACTAAGACGATTAAGGGACTGGAGCATCTCTCATAAGTGGAAAGGCTGAGAGAGCTGGGACTCTTTAGCCTGGAGAAGAGAAGGCTCAGGGGGAATCTTATCAGTGAGTATAAATATCTGGAGGGAGGGTGTAAAGAAGACAGAGCCAGACCCTTTTCAGTGGTGCCCAGTGACAGGACGAGAGGCAACAGGCACAGACTGAAACACAGGAAGATCCATCTGAATAAAAGAAAAAACTTTTTTTCCTGTGAGGGTGACTGGCACAGGTTGCCCAGAGAGGTTGTGGAGTCTCCATCCTTGGAGATATTCAAAAGCTGCCTGGACAGGCTCCTGGGCAAACAGTTAGAGGTGACCCTGCTTGGATTAGATGATATCCAAAGGTCCTTTCCAACCTCAAATGTTCTGTGAATCTGTAAAAAGCTTCTTATGAGTTTATCCCTTTAGGCAGTGAGTCAGCGTGGCTAAGGTAACAGCACCGTCTAAATTCAACTGCCCAATCTCCTTTTTGATAAAAAGCATGTGTCTTGCAGCAAAGCTGCTCCTATGCACTTACTTCATCAGTTTTGCAAAGAAAATCAGAGCTCTGTAACAGGCAATACCCAAGCTTTTACAGCAGTCTCTGTGGCCAGTAGCACTCTATGCTTTTACATAATGCGGTTGCCTGCGTGAGGCTTGACAAATCTTTGCAAAGCAGTGACATTGTACAAAATTGCAGTCCATACAATCTGGAAGAAGCAACCTTTCTTACCTGGCACAGATCTTCCTGCTTTGGCAGCATTTCTGCATAGGACACCTAATGTCGTTAATCTTCCTCTAAGCTAAGTACCATTAAACCACATTGCTAGGTCTTTCTGATTAACTGTCTCCATAGGGCTAACACTTTCCAATCAGTTTGTACAACAGGTGAAAGAAACTGTTAGCTAGGTACGCTAATAAGAAATATCCACGTTGCTTCGAAGCTGTGCCTGGCACGCTCTGAAGCAGTGCTCTAAGTAACCCAGAAGACAAGAAAATAAGTTGCCATATTAGCTCATCTTTCCTTCCTAGCACTGTTTACTACGTTAAAAGTACATTTCTCTGCAGGGTGAGATCCATCCTTTTCTCCGAAGGAAGCAGGCACTCTCCCAGGAGAACACTAGCCCCTTCCGTGCTGTCTTAGCCTTCGTTCTACTTGAAACAGTTCTTGCTCTCTTGGTTGCAAGAAATTCTTTTCCATATCTGAATCAAGTATAAACCAGCACTGTCCTGAAAGGACTTTTTTTGCCAGTTTTTGCAGTCACTATTTAGAACCTTGTGGGAAAGCAGTAAAACTGATGAGAATGGGTCAGCGTCACTGCCCAGCTGCTTGCAGCTGTTCCAGCTTCCCAGAGGAGGTCTGGGGGTCTGGGAAGGAGGACTGGGAATTGGAGGCTAAGAGAAGGGTGGGCAAGAAGGGCCTAGCTGCTACCCTTGCAGCCACGAGGCCCAGAGCAAAGGAAAGTCTGGTAGACTGGGCTTGTAGCTCCTAGCAGGGTCTCCGAGGATGGATCCTCTTTGCTAACACCTTCCTCTTTATTTTCTGCTTTTTTGTAGCTGAGATCTTGTGCTGTTATGAATTAGTGAAACCGTGTTCTGTTCTGTGTCTGGTTACACTGGCCTTGCACTATACAGAGCCAGTTTGAATTGAAAGGAAAAGGATAAGTCCACGTGTAACTTTGTCCTAGACTACACACGCCTTCTTAGGGTAGGAAGATTTTGCCATCGCTGCTGCACAGCAAGCTCTTGCCTCCAAAGTGTTTTGGGATGCTAACGACATAAAGTGACTGTTCTTAATTTCTAAGACTAGCCAAGAGACTAGCCACAACTTTTTGCTTCCTGTGGGTTGCTTGTTTTTTCCCTCTCCCATGCTTCCCTTTACCTCGGGCACAGCCTTCCTCGGTGTCAGCCGTCTGCCTCACTGGTGAGGCATGTTCCCTCACCTTCGCGCCCGCTACCCTCACGGCTGTTGTCTTCTAAAAAGATAAATTGAACTTTTTTGCCTTTATTAAGTCCATCTATAGATAAGTGCTTGCATCTCTCCGCAGTTGCTCCTTCCTTGCGGGCTAGGCTGGCTGCTGGCATGCTGTGATGGCAGCTAACCCGGAGGAGTTAATTAGCCATTTGGGAAATGCAGCTGCGGTAAAGTAGTAGCGTGATTGTAGCATGACACTACCGTCTCTTGAAGACACTACGGGGATCTCACTCTTCCCTGCTTCAAACCAGTGTGAATTTTGGAAGAGGCTTTGCTGAAGTAAAGGTTTCACGTCGCTAGGGTAAAAACTGCCTGTGGCCAAGGGGAGGCTTTCAGTTGTAACACATTCATCTCTGCACACAGAAGGGAGAGGTAAATGTTCCCAGATAAACTCTGTAAGCACACAACTAATGTTTAACTCCTGGGGAATTTGGAATTCAACCCCTAGGTAATCGGAGAAAGACTGGGGGAGAAATGGGCTGCAGACCTGCTGGCGTGTGTATGTGCGTGTGCACACAAGCAGGTGAGCTTCTTGCCGAGAGACCTTGAGGATGAGCTCTGGGGAACGCCTTCTCCTCAAGCCCACGTCTTGGGCCCAGGCTCGTGGAGATGGGGTTTGCCCAGGCACTGCACCTGCCTCAGAAGCGAGCAGTGAAGAGGAGATCCCTGCTGCTCGCCTGGTGGCTAGTTAGAAAACTTCACCAGGGTTGCAGGAAACTTGGATTCAAATCCTTCCTTCTTCTCAGACCTTAAATCCACTGCACCCAGAAGGGAGCTCTGAGACATGTGTGAGCATTGCCACCTTCTCTCTTGAGGCCATCCCATTTGGTATATAATATTTTCTGGGCCAGAGAGAGGTAGAGCTAAGGAAATAATCGCAGTGAAGAGAAAGGAGCTCCGGGTTCCTGTCTGTGCTGCTGTGAATATTACTCTATACAAAACTAGGTGTAAGAGGCTTCCCAGCAGCACTTTCCTGGTTAAAGGAGCTTTCCTGGTTATAACTAAGTACATAAAGAATTTGGGCACTGCAAGGGTTC